GGGTAGGGGCGGGGGCAGGGGGGGGTCGTGTGGATGAGGCCCCAGGTTTGGGGGTTGTTGGGGCAGCGGGGCGGCGCCAAATTTGCGCAGGATCGAGGGGGCGGTGGGGGATGCCTGGCTGCTTGCGCGGCGGGGGCGGCTCTTGCCCGCGTGTTAACCTTGTGTGATGATTGCTTGGTGCGTGTTGCCAAAATCTGGCATTGCTACTGTAATGCCGCCTGGTTGTGTTTCACATAAAAGTCGAATGAGGGCGCGCGCACAGCTTTCAGCTGCGTTTCTTGCAGGTGCTCGTTTGCTTGCTTACGCAGCGCGTACTGTCACGTGTGCCGCCGTCCTTCACGCGGCACGGTGAAGGTCTTTACGCTTTTGGGCCAGGATGAGTAAACGCTTGTCACCAGGTTAGGGCTGCAGCCGGAGCTTTACAGGGTATAAACAGAACTGCCGCAAATGCAGCAAAATCAGAAGGCAGCACCCCTTCAATGGCCAATCTCGTGCACCGGCCCGCCACGTAGCAAGTGGCAAGCACCAGGCCACCTAAACACATATGCACAACATCAACAATCATCTTGCGCACTCGTCAAACAAGCAACTTGCGCCTTCGCCGGCGCCTTGCAACTGACCGCCTCAACCGCAACGCGCAGCCCTGGACAGCCCTCAACCACCCAGCCACCTACACCAACACTGCTCAACCCTGTTCATCTGTGAGCCTCCATGTGGCCCCAATGGCAGTGCATGATCCCAGCTTCTGATCGACCGCGGCGCGCCACGCGCCGCCGCCCTCGCCGCACCGCCCCATGCCTGCGACGCGAAAGCATGCCTCAACGCCTGCTGGGAGCGGGCTGCGCCAAGGCCGCCGCGAGCTGTAGCGCGTGGCCTCGTCTGCATCCAGTACTGTGTACTTGGCCGTCTCGGCAAAAGGCAGCGCCCTCCACACCGCAACCGGGACGACCGACAGCCTCAGAGGGCCCAGCGCCAGGATTGAAAGCCTACGGGGAGCGAGCGCAGCACCAATGCGGCATGGGGAAGGGGGGCGCGCGGGTGCGTTGGGCATGGCTGGGGCGCTCGCCCTCCGAGGCTGCGGGAAGGTGTCGCGGGCAACGACAATGCGGGCGATGCTGGGAGCGAGGGCCGGACTGTTGGTGGGGCGCTCCCGCAGCGCAGCCCAGCCTGGACTTTTGAGGCGGGGGACGCAGAGGGGTGACTATCGCGGTCACGCGCGTGGGGCCTCCTCACCCGGGGCCGCTCGGCGTTGGCGAGGTGGTTGCACCCGCCGAGCCACCGCCGCGGGGCCGGCC